CTACATGCCTTACTTCTTGCCTATCTCACGCTGCGATTTTTTTCTAAGCTCTATACTAAACATTAAATCTGTTACGAAAAAAGAACTAAACAAAAAATGAACACAAAACGATCAGCTTTAAAAAGGACTCGTAACTGGAAAAACCGAAAAAAAAAAGAATGTTAACAACAAATTTTTTTCACACCCAACCCAATTCTGCGGAATCAGAATCAACGTTTATTGAGTTTAAGCAAGCGAATGATCCCATTGGAGTAAATATGCCATGCAGATTTTATTTTTTCCCACTTGTGACGAATGCAGCTATCGATTTTTTTTGCATGCTAGTTAACATTCGTGTAAGTCAGCTGTTGGCTCTCACGCTGGCCAATAGAATCTTCCTGCCTATTCGTAGCAGCCAGTTATCTTTTTTCACTCTGGCCAGTAGAAAATGGCCGCAAACTACATAAAAAAATGTATTGTAGAAGCATGAAAAAAATCGATTATTTCCAATATCGATGGGAGTTGGGAAATGCAAAGTCGGTTTTGTCCTATATATAACTTGGACCATGTGCATCCATGTAATTTTTGATGCAAATCTGTCGAAAAAAAAGCCGTGCATTCGTTACACACACACACACACATCCTGCCTTTTATAGATAGAGATAAGTAACTAGCCAAAAACTAGCAAACATTTTTATCGCCTCTCCAAAGTTTAACTAAAAATGCGCATACTATGATGAAAAAGGCCCCAGGCGTGTTAAAAATAAAGTTTTGTCGTCAAAATGTCTATGTCATTATTAAGAGAAAGGACCAAATTTTTTTATTTTATAATTTTTTTTTATTTTATAAAAATTTTTTAATCTTTTCTAGCACGTTTGAAATTTTGGTTAAAAATCTTCTTTTTTTTTCTTGTGTCAGGGGTGGACCAACCATTAGTATGGGAAATTTAGTGTATTTTTTGCGGAAAAAAAAATTTGGAAATTCTTGAAAAAAAAATCAAACCTCGGATTTTAATGAAATTTTCAGGAATTATTCAGAAATTAATGAAATTATTTTTCAAATTTTTATTAGATGATCTTGGTATATATATATATATATATATATATATATATATATATATTTTATATATCATTTGTTACCCCTACTTATTTAATTTTATGAAATTTTGAGAAATTAGAATTACACCCTCTTCATGTTTAATTAAAACCAGGATATTTAGAGAATTCAAATCAAAAATAAGTTTTTTTTTAAAGCATAAACATCATTTACCGAAAATATACTTTGAATCATTAAATAAAAAATGCGATAAAACTATGACATTATTTAATTAGAAAACTTTTAATTTATTTCATATACAAGATATATTAAGGACACTGATGTCTTAAGAAAACATTTTTTTCGATGGATAATGAATTTTTACAAGAATTGTTTTTCTTTTATTTATCTTAGAATAATTTATTTAGTTTTAAATCTTTTAAAATTCTACATTAATTTCAACTTTTTAGATGATATTAAATAATAACTCTATTTTCTAATCATAAATGGAAAAGCTTAATACAAATTATCAAACACCAATATTTTTTAAAGAAATTTTTTTTTTTTTTTGTATGTGTATAAACGTTCCGATTTTTGGAGATACGGTCGATCATACACAGCATTATCAGAAAATTAAGAGCGTTAACTATAGCAAATTTAAGCCAGAAATTATCTGAAACTAGCCCCCTCTAAACTTGTAACTTTCTGTCCTGGTGTAACAACCTGCCTCACATGATTCATGTACGATTTCATTTTCAAGTCTGTTTTCTACTAACTGTCATAGCTGAAACTCCTCTCCCAGGTGCCAAACGTCTTATGAATTGAGTTGGATCTTTTCTAATTGATCTCTTTAGCTTTAAGTTGAAATGATGATCCGTCTTGTTGCTATTACTCCCTGTTATTACTGGCCCGACGTTGCCCGGTGATGTAACAGTAAGAAATAGATCAAGTATCGACCATCATAAAGACTGAAAAATAAAATTGACAAAGATTATTGTTTAAGGTTGACGGACATGCAATCTTAATTTTTTTTTTTTTTTTTTTTTTTGTTGAAATCGGTTTGAAAATGTAGGAAATCCGATCCCATATATAAACGAACACAGACACAATCTCACAAACCACCTGGGTTTTATAATAAGTATAATTCGTTGTCCCCCTTTCATTCTCGCGATGCCTCTTAATAGTGTTTTCAAATTGATTTTGTGCAAAAACAATTGTGTTTTTTTTTCAATTTTTGGCGCTGTCAGAACCACCGCAAGGTAATTTTACGTAGTCCTGTGAAGTTTTGTTGAAATCGGTTGAAAAATGTAGGAAATCCGATCCAATATATAAACGTACAGACACACACACACACACACACACACACACATACATAATCTTGGTTTTATAATAAGTATGATTCAATAAAACATTAGATTGCGGAGAATATCTTCATAAATTGTTAAGATTGCTGAGTACTTAAAAATTATATATAAAAGCGTTCACGTTATATTAAACTATTTTTGCAGCTAAAGCCTCTGTAGAACATCATTAGATAAACTACCATCAAGCTGTCAATCATATCAACAGCTTAAATAAATAGCTACCGCTGTGTTAAAAAATGAATTTTTGCTCTATTTTAAAATCAACGTAAATAATAATTATTTCAAATCAGAATAATTATCAGTTAATATTCCCCAAATAAAGTTTAACTAAAGTAGATTATATTTTTGGAATATTTTTAATAAAGAGAATTACACTGCGATGTAAGACGGCTAAAAAGGGCGCTAATCAGCTCCTTCCAGGCAATTTAATTTAGATTTTGAAATACAGCAAAGTATTTTGCATATTGGAAATAATAAATTTAATCAATTAGCTTGAAATTAAAACTAAAATAAATGGTTCAAGAAAGATTTTTCATTTTTTAAAAGCATTTTAAACATTTTGTAGCTCTTTTTCTCTGGTGGCGCATATATTTTGATTAATAAATTTATTTATAAGTAAGATGTACAAATGAAAAGATTTGACATTGACAATTTTTTCCATATTCATTGAAACATGCGTTAAACATTTCTATCTTGCTTTTTTTCATTCTTTCTTTTTTTTCACTGAGATATGGAATAGTCCATTATCTACATTATTTACATTATTCGGACTATTGTCCTCGTCTTTGTCGCCATATTTATCACAACGTTTCGGCCGGTGTACGTTCCGGCCTTCTTCAAGTGGTTGGAATATCGAACTTAACTTTATTTCGCTCACGTGCCATGTTTGATGGATGTTATCAGTTATCTCCTGTTAATTTTCCCTCTGAAAGTTCTCCTCTTCCCTAACCGGATATTGAACTCACACTCTTTGGATCCTGTCACTGGATCTAACCAACGCCTTTATCCACATGTGTTCTTGTGGACATCTGGGTATGAATTTCTGGGTATTATAAACCTAATGTCCTCAGCAACCATTTTTACTAATGCTCATATTGCAATTTTTCTGTTATCATTTCATGTTTTTACCAGAGCTCATATTGCAACTTTTGTTGTTTTCATTGCTTTTCTCTGGCACTCCTTATTATTGGTTCCCATATTGTATTTATTTCTATGCTTAGTCGGCTCAGTCCATTATCTATGGGTTAATGGTCGGGCGAACTAACAAACGCAAGGAGGTACAAACAGAGTCATAATAGGGATAATAAGAAGAAGAACAAGAACAAAAACAAGAACAACAATAACAGTAACAACAACAACAGCAAGAATAACAACAACAAGAGCAAGAATTCTTCAGTCGCAGTTTTCCACTCTGAACCAAGCATAAAAGGCCATGGAGTCACTACTATTTGAGACTTTATCATTCCTATTCGCGGGTATATAAAATCAAATAGACTAGGTATTCCCTGAGTTATGTTATAATAATAATAATAATTATAAATGCTTTGATCTTACAGCAAGAATGACTCTTGTGGCTTCTGATCTTAATGTATTGAAAGTTTTTTTTTTTGTTTCACAATGATACTCACTCTTTACAAGGCACAAGAACCACACAAAGTAGAGGGTTACAGAGCAAGAGGCACAATTTATGGGAATATGCGTTGACCCTAGACTTGAACAGGACATGTGATCGGGGGGGAAGCATCCTCTTGGGAGTCGATTCCGCAAAATAGCTGTTTGTGTGGTAACATGTGCATTTTTTGTCTTAGTTAAGATGTGCTTCCCTGTTTGTTGCCACAGATGTACTGGCCTGCCAGTTGTCTGATGTTAGCCAGTTGGGTATGTCCTCTAGGGGCTGTCACACACTCCTTCTCTGTTCAGGAGTGGGAATAGTGGACTATCATCATGTCTGGTTATCGAGGGGGCATCTTTTTTCAAATTTGGAAGATGAGGCGGATTAGGTAACATGGAAATTATGGGCACTTCGATGTCGTGTAATGGTTAACAAACGGGTCTCTCTAGATCAATTACGTGAATATGTGAGTTCGATAACCAGTGAGTGCTCCATACTTTTGGCCTTGTGCCACATCTAATCTTCTCTTAGTAAATCATTATGGGAAATTTGACATGATGTAATGGTTAACAAACCTGTCTTTCTAGATCAATGACGACTGAGTAGTGAATTCGATAATCACTGAGTGCTCCATACTTTTGACCTTGTGCCACATCTAATCTTCGATTAATAAATCATTATGGGCAATTTGATATGATGTAATGGTTAACAAACTTGTTTCTCTAGATGAGTTACGACTGAGTTGTGAATTCGATAATCAGTGGGTGCTCCATAATTTCGGCCTTGTGCCACATTTGATCTTTGCTTAGTAAATCATTATGAGCACTTAGACATGGTGTAATGGTTAACAAACTTGTCTCTCTAAATCAATTACGACTGAATAGTGACTACGATCCTCACTGAGTGCTCCATACTTTCGGCCTTGTGCCACATTTAATCTTCGCTTAGTAAATCTCTATATGAGAAATTTAATCCTCCCTACGATATGTTTTTACCTGCGAAATTAAAAT